TTTATGTATTTATGTACTCGTGTATCTTTTATTACGAGAGCCAATTATGGGGGGTAGTCCTAAGTAGGGTTGTATGGTTTTGTAGTGTGTCGTGGGGAAGGGGGCGGCTGTTTTTCTTGACTGAGAGGATTCGTGGTGTCCGGTTCGCGTGCTGGATTTCGGAATATGGGCCCTCGGAGGAACATAATCCCGGGGAGCTGTGTCTGAAGGATGGATGCGGGGTCATCCTCCGTCATCCTAGTTGGTCGGGAGAAATAGCCTTGTTTCCACCCCGGGATAACTTGAATCTTTACCGGGAGTATCTACCGGAGGAGATGAAGGTGGGCCAGTCGCCTAGGGACCCGGAGTTTGAGTAAGCCGAGAGGTTTTTTTTTTTTTTTTTTTTTTTTTATTCGTTCGGGGAGGGGGTTTAGAAAAAGCTGTTGGAGTAGGTGGGTGCGGGGATGTACGAGGAATCATTTGTTTGTTTTTACAGGGTTGTGGTAGGACCTCATATGAGGTTCCTGGTGACGGCTCGCCAGGATAGGGAGGGCATCTATCAAACTCGATGGATTCCGAAACTTTCATTCGAGTTGGGGGAGTTTGCGCGTGACTCTGACCCGGTGGAGGATGGGAGGCGTCTGGCCGTGAATACGATGGAATCCACCGTGGGAAGTTATCGGGGCGTAAGGGTCCGTATTCCCGCGGCGTCGTTTTTTACGGAACAAAGGCTGGGAAGGGTGCCAGGACGAGAAGAGATAGCCGGTTGGAGGTAAGACAGTCTTTGTTGGAAGGGCGGGATTTTGTTCCTGGAATGATGGAGGTTGGGTTGTAATCAAGGTTGGTATCGGCTGACAACTATCTTCTTCGTTTGGTCTGGGGGGACTATGGACATCTGGTCGTTCCAAAGTGGGCGGTGGGAATCAATGAGCCCGAGGCCCTGGTGGCGGTGTAGGTGTCTTGCGCTCCATTGGTACCAGACCCTTCGTGGACGAAGCTGGAGTTTCTGTCCACGCGTCTCCCCATAGATGAGGGTGCTTCGCACGGGGTCGTCCAGCTGCAAGGATACCCAAGGTGGGATGTCATCCTTCCTCTCAGGACGTCTGACATGAAGCCGCTGCCTATGGGTGGATCGGGGTATCGGCCTCCAAAACCGACGGAGGACAGGAAGCCGAGAGGGTGAGAGAGCTTAGGAGTTGTTGGTCGTTGTCGTGGGATTTATTGATATGTTTACAGTTTCGCGTCCGGCTGAGGAGGGCGGTTCGAGAGGATCCATACGGGTGGATTTTCGGGCCGCAATATGTGGACGTGGTGACCCTACAGTTCATAATGGACTATAGGGCAACGATTCTGGTAAGTTGGCTGGCGGGAAGAAGGAAGGGGGGAATTTGATGTGAAGTTTGCTCCTGTTGTTTAGGCGGGCGTCCCCCCCGGGGTAGGGGGAATGCCGTACATGACGGATTTACTGAATAGTGTGACGGCGAGGATGGTTCCAGATACCGTGTGGAACGGGATCCTGGAGGAGTTTGCGCGAGAGGAGGTGCTAAGGACCTCTTCGGAAGATGATGACGATGAGGACGAGGACGAGGACTACCAGCCTCCTGATTCCTTGATGGAGGTGAACCCTGAAGAAGCGCGTAGAAATCTACGCCCACTTCCTCATCGCAGAGACGTGGGTCATGGGTATGTGTTGGGGCATGCTTCCAATTTTCCGGAGTGTCGGGTCGTTCTTGCTCGCCTTCCTTGTTCCGAGGGAGTACCGGGTAGAGTTCTGGAGCCAGAAGTCGAGGTTGTGGATTTGACGTCAGAGGGTGAGTAGTGATTTTGGATTGGTGAAGGGGTATGTGGGAGTACGTTGTTGATGCTCATTTGTATTTTGTTGGCCAGATGGTGACGCGGCGGCTGGAGGCGGCGTGGCCTCGGCCAGCGAGGTCATTGATTTGACGTCAGGTAAGGCGAGATTGGGTGTTTGTGGAGAAGTTGTGAAATTGTAGTTATTGTTTGGTTCGTTCATCCGTGGTGATAGATGATGACGCCACGGCCGTTGGGATTGGGGAGGGGGGTTCGATGGAAGTGGATTCGGAGCGGGATTCTACTACGGAGGAGGAAGACTTGGAGACAGGGTGTGATCCAGCTGTGGTACGCATCCTTATTTGTTTGGCACGGTGTGATAACAGTTGGAATGATGTGACATGTAAGGGGCATATGGTTTGCAGGGGGACCTCACCGCAGAGACGACGAGGCGAACGGGGTCGGGGGCAGGTTATGCCCCTGTATCGCGGGCAGCCGGGGGTGTGGTAGGACCGATCAGGACGAAGGTCAGAGTAGTACCTCAGGCTGTCGCACGCGCGAGGATGTCAATGGTGAGAAGTGGGAGAATGAGAGAGAGCAAGTCCTGAGGATATGGTGGGTGAATGGAGATGTGACGTTTGCAAAATGGTTGTTTTTGTGATCTAGAAGGTGAGCGTGGACATGGGTGTACGAGCGGTTGTGCCGAGCCGGGCGCAGGAAGCGGCGGGTCCAAGTCGACCGCGGGAGTATATGGCGGTAAGAAAATTAGTGTCTCTTTTTTGTTTTTTTGTTTTCAAAAAAAAATGTGGATGGAGGAGGGCGTGTTGAGAGTCGAGGTGAAGGGAATGATACCAAATTTGAAGATCATGATGGTTTTGTGAATTTGTAGGGGTCGTCCGATGAGGCGACTGAAAATTCGTCAGATGAGGGTTTGGAGTGTGTGCCCGTTGTTCCAGTGCGGTCCGTAGTACCGAGAAGACGACGTAGGAGGATAATTCCGTACCAGGTAACCGGAGAGTTAATATTGTGTAGCTGTCAGAAAATGAGTGGGTAGTTGAGTGAAGATTGAGTGTGAGCTACATGTTGTATTTGTGTTCTAGGGGAGTGAACATCCAGCAACGTGTCCCTGTGGACACAGATTTCGTTCGAGGGAGAGGTTGAGACATCATCAGCGGAATTGTCGTGGAGACTATCAATGTGCATATGGAATGTGCCATTTGATGGGCTGTTGGGGAAATCCCAGAGGTAGGAAATAGGAATTCTGGGTGGAATATTGGATATAATTTTCATTTCTTTGTGGTTGGGTTTTGTATTGTGTGGGGAAATGTGTGGAGGGAATAAAATGTGATGGAAAAAAAATGCGAGGTTGTTCTGTTCATTTTGTATTGTTGTTTGTGTCCTTGTTGGAAGCCAATGTGAGCGGCATATGATGGCGCGGCGACATATGACGATGAACGACGCGAAGAGTCTATAAGTGCTTGCATGGTTGAGGCGGATCGGCTGACTGATATTGCAGGGGAGAAGAGCATGGCGGAGAAGTTTGGGGGGGTTCCGGTTGGCTGGTAGGTGGCACAGGACTGGAGGAAGTGGATGGGAGTACTGGAGATGGTTTGGAGTCGACGGCGGGTGTGTTCGGGTAGAGTGGTTCGATGCGAGAGGTTTCCACCGATTGGATGGGTGGATCGGCTTGGTCATGATACGTGGTGTGGAGTGGTTTAAGACGCGGGAGATAGCGTGGGGGGTGAGAAGATGAACAAAGTTGGTACGGGTATGACAGGAGGCCCCTTTTGGGAGGGCGTGGAGGTAGTAAGCGGAGATTTGCTGGGGCCGTTAGGAGTGTTGAAGGGGGAAAAATCGTTAGTTTTTCATTGTGTCGTGTGCAGAATCCGTAAGCGCCATAATAAGTGAGGATATTGGGGTGGGAGAAAAATGCCGGGTGTCTGGCTGTGAATTCGTTATACCATTTTGGATCCACAGCCGTAGAGTCGGCGAAATTGAATGGGCGTGGAGGTGAAAGATTGGACGTAAATGTTCCGCACATTTCGAGGATGTGTTCCCGGGTGAAGTGAAGACCAGCACTAAGAAGCCGGAGAAGTTCTGTGGCGAGTTGCATTTCCTCCGTGTCTGTGAGCATAAGGATTTGATTGTACGGACGAAATTGCTGCGACAAGAAAGGTGAATGGGTTGGCTTGGAAAAGTGGGGTTCCATGGTCCGGGAATAGAAGCGAAGATATGTGTTCTCGATCGGGTCTTCGAAAATTAATGATTGGCGAACCTTTTCAGTGTAGATTGCCGAAGAGATGAAGAAAGGGTGGAGCTATACAAACTCGGCGAGAGCCTGGAGAAGGGGTCCATAATTCAAGGGCGGAGGGATACGGTATAGCGTTTCATCACGTTGTCCTGCGTGAACTAGTGCGAGGAAATGGGCGCACTTTTCGGAACGGTCCGTGCAAGTCGACGAGAGCCTAATCTTATGAAATAAGAACGAGGGCGGGTTGGAACATTTCATCTGTGTTTGGAAGTCGTGGGGGAGCTGGACACAATATGTCACCGATTGCTTGATTAATTGATTGATTGAAGGGACTGATACATGTTGTGGCCCATATATTGGAATTCTTAGGTAAGCAGCTGCGACAAGACTTGAGGACAACAAGTCGTGGGGAAAGCTTGGGAGATGGACTCAAATTTCAGTTATCACCTCCACGACCGCCCCTTCCTCAAATCTACCCTCGAATTTTTTTTTTTTTTTTTAAATTTGAATACCAACCCCATCGAACACCCCGGAGTCACGTGGAGGACTTAGTTTATGGTCAGGTACAGCCTGAATAAAGATGAGAAAAAGAAAAGGAGGAAAAGTGTAGGTTTGGGAGCAATCTTGTGATTCCCACCCCCGCACACCTTAGCGGGGGGGGGGTTAATTTGGGGAGAAAGAAGATATGGGTGGGGGTGTTGGTTGGATGTGATCCGATGAAAACCGGGGTCGCGTAGAACTGGGGGGGATTTTTGCTGTCGAGCCCGTCGGCGGGGTCTTATAGGGTGGAGCGGAGGAAGCCGCCAGGTGGGCTGGGGCCCGCCTGGTGGGTGGACGAACCAGGGAGGTGGGTACGGGTGATAAGGAAAAGGTGGAAGAGGAAGTGGAAAAGGAGGGGTGAAGGGGTATGCAAATGGGAGGTTGGGAAATGTTGAGGCCGGCGGAGGATGGGAAGACGGGGCGGAGGGAAGGATGGGTGTCAAGGGGAGTTTTTCCACTTGATCCCCTGGTAGGGTTGAAGATGTTGAAAGGTCGTTGGTGGAAGTCCGAGGAGGGTTGGGAGTGGCAGGTGGGGTGTTTCCTGGATCCTGAGCCTGGTTGTTTCTTGGATCTTGAGCTTGGTCAGGAGTATGAGGGGTGTCTGCCGGGGATCCCGTAAGGGAGTGACATCGTGAAATGGGCGTCGAGAGTATTGCAGGTCAAAAGAGGTGGGCGGAGGCACTGTAGTGTTGGGGTGATTGGACGGAGGTGTGGGCTCCCCGGTGGATGAGGTAGGTGGAAATGTGGGGTTGGCAGGGTCGGGGCTGCCGGTGGTGTCAGAACTTGCTCCACCGTTAGAGGGTGGAGGTTGTCGACGTCTTAATTGCCGGGGGTCAAAGGGAGAGGGAGATGGCGTTCTAGGGGAGTTGGGTGGCGGGCTTGGACTCCACGGGGATAAAGGAGGTGCATAAGTCGGCGTTTTAGATCCCGGTGTATGAGAAGGGGACGAACTGGGCGAATATGGAAGGTTAGGCCAAGAATCCTGTGGCGGAGATGAAGGGCGAGTTGGTTTATTTTTTCGGAATTCCGTGTCGCGCATATGCTTGTATAGGGAGGAAAAGGATAGGTGATGTTGGAACTTGTCGAAGAAGTCTTCGTTGGGGCTGAGGAGAAGGGCGTTGAAGACGGTGGTCGCCTCAAATGCTTGGATTTTCAGCTTGATGTCATCCAATCCCCTGTACAAACTGGCGAAGGTCCGGTGGGACGAGAGGGAAGGTGTTGTAAGAAGGGGAGGGGTGTTGTGGATTAAGGCCTTCCTCAATTCGTGGCCCTCGTGGTTATTGAGGTGGATTAATTCTTCTTTAAAGAGAATGGCCTTCAGGGGTTTAGGGGAGGACATCTTGATGGAGTTGATAAACGTGGCTGAGGGGAGAGATGAGGACCATGCTGCGCTAAATGCTGAGTAATATCACGAATAAGTTGGTCAAAGGTTGGTGTAGTATGGCCGGGTAACCGGAGCACGAATTCCTGTGGGAGAAGACCAAGGACACGGCGCACCACTGTGGGCTCGTCGTACGGAATCAGCATGATAAGATTCTTGTAAGAACTGTGTTTGGCTTGGATGAAGTCGACGATGGTCTGATCTTGTGGGCGGCCCCGGGTGGTTAAGGCCTTGTAAAGGCGACGGGCGTTTTCCTCTACCGGACGGTGAGGGCGGTATTGAGGCATGAGGGTTTGGGAGAAGGTGAGTCTAAGTGAGGGGGTAGCTGCATCCCTTTGTTGGGCCTGCAAGAAGTAGGGAAGAATAAAATCGGATTACCGGAATTTGGAATTCGTCTCCATACGGCTGAGCGTGGGACTGGAGCACCGCACTACATTCACTGTCTCCTGGGAGGAGGCAAGGGAGCGGACAGGAAGTGTTCGGAGTGTTGCTACCGGTTGGGGTACTTCGTGCGAAGTAGCCAAGGAAGGTGATTTCGTTGGACGAGTTCGAATGGGACGAATTGCTAGATGAGTCTGTACTAAACGAATCACTTGTGGAGGTGGCCAACACGGAGTCACTAAGAGATGAAGAAGAAATGTCACTAAATTCGAGGTTCCCTAGGGGAGAAAAAGGTGGGGTGGTAATGTCAACGGTTGGGGGTGAGGCGCGATGAAAAGCTCCAATAAAGGAGATGTCCTCTTCTGACGGAGTGGGAGATGCTGGGGCCGAAGAAAAGTATGTAGAATCACTATCACGAGAGGAATCACGATGCGAAGACACTGAACTGTCGGAAATGTCGTAAACTGGGGGAGAGATGGTGTGGTTTGTGGGCGGTGGGACTGGTTGGAGCACTTCTTCGTCGTCAAGAGTGTATACTGGTGGGGGCGAAGGTGGTGGAAGAAGCGCGGGAACGAGTTGGTTGAGACGTGAATTCCACTCTTGTACCCAAGTACCGGAGGGGGCGGGAGGGGCGAGGAGACTAGGGGAAGGGATACGACGTCCTAATACACTTTGGGGCACAGGGTCGGGGTAGGTGTAGCCCCCGTGTGTATAGCGAGGCATGTAGCCCGTGTTGGAGAAGTCAGCAGATTTCGTGGTTGTGTAAGGTAAACGAATATTGTTGGTTAGGTGTAAGCTGGTTGGGTGGAGAGAGATGTGTGCACTGTGGAAGGTGAGAGCAGACTGATTGAGGAGAAGTACGAATGTTTGTAGTGATGTATGTTGGGGCGCGACGTCAGGCAAGTGGAGGAGGCGTTATCTTGTAGGATGGTTTGATTGGGAGAGTGGAAATGTCCTCGTTGTAAACTGGTTTTTGAAGGTGATTTGTAGTTGAAAGAGAGTTGGGGATGGGTGAGTTGGCACGTAGGCATAAAATATTGTCCACGTTGAAAACAGGTTTTGTGAGATTCATCGGGGGAAGGCTGGTTGGCACGTAGTTATGGGTATGTCTCTGGATGGGAAAATTGATGTACGGGGGCGAGCACGGGGCTTACGTGTTGAGATGAAGAATCCGTATGAGGAGGGGGAGAGTTGGTGTAGGCGAAAATGTGTCGGGGGCTAGTATTATTGCTAGGGATATATATACAACTTTGTACCAAGCGTATTTCTGGGCCGTGTACACGGTGCATGAAATGTCGAGAAGGTACAAAGTAGCTATCACAGCGTAGGGCGTGATGAGTTGTATTATGTACTATGGGTACCCTATGTGAGATATCAAAATTCTCTAAATTATCTAAAAAAAATCTATGTGCATATAATACACTGCAGAAAGAATTCTGTGGTGGATTGTTAAATCTATGGCTATGCTATATGGCTAACCTATTCTATATACATGTGAAGAAAGGACACAGGAGAATAAATTCTCCTGTTTGTTTTTCTTCGATTTTACCCGTCTTTGGTTCTCCTAAAAAAAATGCGGTGATGAGTCGAGAGGACCATCAGGTTCCCGCTATAATGTAATACTTACTGGTACGATTCCCCAAAAATTGTCGTGCAGTGGAGGCGAGTCTCTGATGCAAGAGCAAATTTTTTGGGTGGGGGAATATGAAATGAGTTAAAAGTGTATGTATGTACCTAAGATGCATCGGGTGTGATACCCTAGCGTATGGGAAACATGGATCCACCATGGAGTATATCTACGGAATTTAAAACTAAAAAATGTATAAGGTGTAATATGGACTAACTAAACAAAAGTGTTTTTTTTATGCATTTAATGGTTTATGTAATATTTTTTTGGGTTAGTAGTACTTTAAAAAAAATGAGGAGTGGTTGATCGTTTAAGTGCGGGCCCCGTGCTCGAAAAGATGGTCGAATATGAAGTTCGGAATATGTATTTAAAATCGAGGATGAGATTGGTGTACAGCAAGGTGATCCGGGTGATCGGGGTTGTTAACCGAGGGGAGGAAGTGGCGCGGAAATTTTAACGGGGGGTATTAGGAGGTGGTGGGGGAAGTGGATAATAAGCCTGTGCACCAGGAAGTGGGGGAGGAGGAGGAGGAAAGTTGGCGGCGGAGTTCCGGTCCTGGAGAGGTTGCATCTGGATTTCCCGTTCGCGACGTCTGTGTCGTTCGGCCGAGCGAAGTTGGCGGTCCTTGTCCATACGGGTGAAATCTTGGCGAAGTTTTTGTTTTTTACAGATGTAAAAACATCCAAACATACATATGACGAAAACCAAGGTGATGAGGACGGAGGTCGTTATCAGGGCTATCAAGATGCGATGAGCGATTTTCTGTTCTGTGCCACAGTCGGCTGGTGGGGAGAGGGGAATGGCTGATTCCAATAGCGAGGCAGCCTTGACGACAGGGGTATAGGCCGCGGTGGTGGCAACCCAGGGTAGCACGGAGGGGGTATGGCGGGCCCATAGGTAAAGTACCGCGAAGGAGATGGCGACTTGCCATAGGAAGGCGAGGAAGTCCTGGTATAGGTGCGATTCGTCTTTGAGATGATTAAAAAAATGGTAAGAGGCTGGAAGATCAGGCAGTTCGGTGATTTGTGCTGGGTGTTGGATTTTGCCATCGGCCCATTCGAGCTTGAAGATAGAGGACATGTTTTCGTAGGATGTTTTTGGAAGAAGGGCAGGTTTTACCATGATGATCTTGGTGACCTGGTCGTATGAGAGGTTGGCCCATAAGGTAGGAATGACGAGGGAAACTTCGGGTAGAAGTGAGTTGGATTTCATGCACGGAAGAGGGTTGAAAACCGGGGAAAAGCTCGGGATGTTGATCCGACAGGAGCACGGGAGATGAATGATTTGGGATCCAACTGTGTGTTCAGGTTTGACAAATTCTTGTGTCATGCGCCCATCCGGAAAAGTGCACTCAATGCTGGAATTATGAGGCGGGTTGGTGAGGGCGAAGTTTTGATACCCGAGTTCCGTGATGTGTATATCGCTGGAGCCCATGGAGGGCCGACAGGAAAAGGGGCAGGAGTCACGGATGACGTCGTTTGTGGCTCCTCTAACAAGGCGAGTGAGGCAAAATAATATTTTGGAGGTTCCCGAGTATTCCCGGAAGTGGCAGTACCCATTGTCCGGTTGACAAGCGTGGGCATGTGTGCTTTCAATAGCGAGAGGTTTGTTATTTGTAAGAAGTACGTAGGTGGACGGCATGTTATATTGGCAGATCTCGTCGTGGTGTTTGAATGGGATGGAGATTACCTCGTGGAGGATGATCTTCCGGTTGAGTGGTTGAATCGGAACATGTAGAATTATGGTGGCAGTACCGTTGTCAGAGAGTAGGTGGCAATTGACAAGTGGTAGTTGGTAGTAAGGTGAGATAGTTTTGATGGGGATGACCAATTCCTGGTCGAGAGGGTTGAGGTGGGTAGAAAGGATGTCGAGTTCATCCCGTAGGAGTCCGGCATCTATAAGGGATAGGGGGAGGCGTTTATTTTGACAAGCGGTGATGACGTCGTGGTAGGCGACAAGGTCCGCAAGTCGCGTCAATTCCTGGATGGTTTGAGCCTGGATCATGGCCGACCGGACTTCGCCGGTTTTGAACGAATCGTATAATGTGTTGATTTTGGTCCGCTGGTAATTCATTGCCTGGGTGAACTTGATGGCCGAGTCGCGAAGGCCATCGAAAGTGTCGTTGCGTAGCGCTTGGACGTCGTCGGTGATCCGGATAATATTTTGATGATCGATATGCGCATTGGACTGGAGGCTGTTATACATCAGCCGTCCATCTGAGGAGGAAGAAGAGAAGAGAGAAGACGAGACATATCCAACAAGGCCAGCGATAGCGGCGGCAGCCATAACAATTTGGCGGCGGACGCGGGTCACGACGGTGTCCTGGGTGTCCGGATGGGGTTGATCGTCCAGGTCACCTCCCACGAGGAGGCGGGTGATATGATTATTTACCTGATCTGCTGTATTTTTAGTGATGAAGCCTGGGGAAGCGAAATCTGTCGGCTGGATTGGTGTATGTTGATGCGAATCGACGTCGAGGAACGCGTGGGTGAGAAGGTTATTCCGTTCCGTGAGAAAGTTCAGATTTTTAATTATATCGTTGGAGAATAAACAAAGCGGAATCATGTCCTGGGTGGGGGTAAAGCCTGAACAATTTTTGTTCATGATGGAGTGGTCATACGTGTGGGTCCGCAGGATGGTGAGGTTGGCCGTAAAGAAGATGGGGGTTGTTTGGCTGAAGATGACAACGTTGTCCGGGACGGGACGAAAGTACAGACCAGGGGTAACGCGTATGGTGGGAGGAATGTAGACAGCAAGGGCGTGGGCCAAGAAAATGGATCCAGTGGCAAAGAGGAGGGCGAGATTCATTTTGGTAATCTGTAAGGAAGGTATGGTTCACTGAAAACGCGCCGGAGGCTTTACATGGCGTCCAAAACGAGTCTTGTAGCCAGAAGATGCAATGTCTTGTGGGGCTTGGTTGGGAGTAATGGAGTCAATAGGGGCGGTGTCGTCAGGGAGATCCTCAATGGTCGTATGGGGAACGGCCGTCGGGATGAGAGAAGGGTGGAAGGAGGGAGTGAAGTCGAGGTCGGGTGGTCGAGGCGTGTAGCGTTTAAATTTTCGTATGTTCATAACTTTAGTGCCTGCTTTGGAGTTTAAGGGGCGGACCTCACAGTTAAGATCCGAGAGAACTTTGGTGATTTGATATGGACCAGCGAATTTGGGTTGTAACTTTTGAGAGAGAGGAGTGGTATGCAAGTTAGGGTATTCAATGAAGACGAGGTCGCCCACCTCGTATTTAATTGGACGATGGGTTTTATCCCATCGTTCTTTGTATATTTCTTGGGCTTCCAAAATTTTGAGTTTAGCGATTTCCCGAGCACTTTGTACTCGTTCAATATAAGTCCCCATTAAATCGGGTAAATCAAATTGACTTTCAAGGGGGGAAACAGGTTCATAACCCCTGTTTAAGTAGAATGGGGTGAATGAAGTAGCATTACTAACTGTCGTGTTAATGGTATATGTAGCTGGGACTAAGAAAACATGCCATGAGTTAGGGAATTGTTGGATTAGGGTGCTTAGAACGGAGGAGACGCTTCTATTCATTTTTTCGACTATGCCATTGCTTTGGCTCTGATAAGGAGCCGTAAAACGGAGAGTTGTGCCCAGACCCTTGGTGAGGGCTTCAGTTTAGAACGGTTTATGGAGGCATTATCACATATTATTACTGAAGGGGCCCCATGGATAAAGTAGATATGGTTGATTAAGAAACGGGCTAGCGTTTCTGAATCAGCAATACGCATTGGGGCAGTCACGACGAAACGGGTGAGGTAATCTACAGCCGTGCAAATATATTGGAAATTCCCAGGGGTGCTAGCAGGGTGAATGGGCCCAATTAAATCGAAGGCTATCGTATGCCAGGGACGAGGTGAGACATCTAAACTATGTAATGGGCCTACACCTGGGCCATTTCTACTTTTTAATTGGCCACAAATTATGCAGCTGTTTACGTACTGACGTACGTCTTGACGAAGACCAGGCCAATGCCAGTGAAGTTGTAATTTGTGGATCACCTTGGCGGCGCCCAGGTGGCCACCATGTATGTCTGTATGAAAAACGTGCAAGAGGTAGGGAATGCATGAACGTGGGACAGCAA